TCTGTAGAGGATCGCTGGCCCATAGGCTTTTGTCACGTCGACCAATAGGATATTTTGTGATTGCCATCCTCATCTATATTAAAGCAATATCTAAATACTTGACAAATTGCAGTACACAAGCCATATCAAGCCGCGAAACTTCTATCGGGGTCAAAAAAAAATTTAAATGAATTATTAGTTTCAGAGTTAAATTATAAAATAACTTGCTTGCTACACTTGCTATACTATCGTACATTTATTTTATAAATGTCTTGGTTTTTGCTCGGACGCCAGTCAATAAATTTTGATCAGTGCGTTTTTACTCATTTCTCTAGACTTACACTCGGCACTAATTTGTAAAACATTTCCGACAAAGTAGACATAGAGAAAGTGTTAACATAAAATATTGCGTAAATTTTATATTACTTAATTTTATAGTAAACAAAGTATTTTCATTTTATTTTTGTAAATTGGATTTTAGCCAAAATAATGTTGGTCAATATTGTGTAATCGAAAAATATTAAAAAGTATTAAAATATCTTAAAAAATGTCAAATGTGAATTACAATAATATTGTGCAGTTTTTATTATAACATGAAAAATGCTTATATAAGCATAAATTGTGTTCAATAGTAGGTGTTTTATGTAAAAGTATAATGTAAAGTTAAATTTCATATTTTTATATACATCTATATAAGAAGAGTAAATTTATTTTTTTGTTAATTACTACAAATGTGTTGCTCTGCTAATTCTTGTGTGCAAAAATATTTTAAAATATGGTTGTATTTTTAATTAAATAAGAAAAACTCTAGGGCAATAAAGTAATTAGTAAATATCATATTAATATACTCGTATATATATAGGTATACACAACATGTGTGAATGTATGTGTGTATATGTGATTAATAATATAATTAAAACAAAAATCAAAGTTTTTATAATTACAAAATTTGAAAGCAATCTTTAATCATGAACAAATTACTTTTGGAATATGAAATAATAAAAGGAAAAATATTTTATTTTAATTTTATTGGAATTTTCCATTTAAATAAGATTTGCAAATCTTATGTGGTATACATTGAAATATCTGCCCCAGTTTTGATATAGTAATTGCATGGTATTGCAGTCGGAGATAAATGATGAGGTGTGGCTGAGAGAAATCATACGAAGGAACTGTAGGAACTGTAAGATATAAATTCTTTCGAATATAGTACAGTGGTTTTATACCCTTTTCGGGTATTAACCACAAAGTAAATTTTTTAGGGGTAAGCGCAGAGCTCGTAAAATCAAGACTTACTTCTTTTTCTTAGACAGCTTATTCTTTTCCTCTTATACTTGGTTTCTGTTTTCATATAATACTTTTTATTCGATTATTACTTATATGAGTGTATGATTATATTTCAGTCTTCATCATATTTTCTTTATTTATTAATTTTTAAATTGAATAAATTTTAAAAATTTAATATGAAAATAGAAAATTTTTTTATTAATGAAATAAGAAATTTGTAGAAAAATTTTAGAACACGTAGAGTATACAAACAACTGACACATATAAATAAATTTATTCTTGAAATTTTATCTCTTGAGAAAGAAATTAAATAAAAATTTAATAAAAAAAGGAGACTCTGATTCTTTAATGATATTTTTATTTCATTTGCACACATACACAGTCTCAAAGATAAGAAAAGGACAATTTTCTTTAGAAATTTATGATATAAATATAAAATTCTCTTTTATACTCCAGGACCTATCTATCACATATTTTTCTAATAAATTAATTTGATTTTAACTCGAAAAAATTCAATTTTAATAGGATAATTGAATAGGTAAAGGTTACTTTTAAATTGAAAATAATTTTTTTTTTCTTGAAAAGGCAAATCTTATTATGTAAATGTGAATGTAGATCTTTATATTAGGTGCTTAATAAAATTATTGTTATTTTTATAAGATTTTTATTTAAATTTTGTCCTTAATAATTTTTTTAATTCCTTTAATATACAAATATCACTTAAAAACTATAATGTTTAGCTATACGAGTACGTTATACAGGGTGGTTCAATTCTAGTGTATTTTAGAAAAAAAATCGTAGGTGGATGGTGGAGACACTCGGACGTTTATTTAAATAATTTTATTTTTATATAAAATTTATTTTATAATATATAAAATTCTACATAGGCAAAAGCAGTTGAGTCTGAAATTCAGAATTTTTCTTCTCGAAAAGGAAATTTGTTATATTTTTGATTTAACGGCAACACTTATATTGGATATTTAAAAATTTTTTATTTTAAACAAATTTAAAATAAAGAAAATATGTTTTTGGTATGTGTGTTGTGTAGGTGTGTGCAGGTGTACTGTGGATCGTTCTGTTATTTGAGTTTTTTGTTTTTTAAAAAGATTCGAACAAGCAGCCTACTGCTTTTTCAAGTTATTTAATTCCATTAACTTAGTTCAGCTTATTGTTGTGACGAGGAGGAGAAGAATACGGGGCAATCTAATTTGCTCATGTCCGGTCCTGGAAATCTACAGATAGTGATGCCTTGGGTAATTTTTTCATTTGGAACCGGCCGAATATAAATGCCAAGGATCTTGCTCTATTTTTAAAAATCTCGGGCTGGTTCTTATGAGGGCGGGGAATTTTTTGAATCCAGCGATATCACAACGAGAGCATCTGGCCTACATGTATATTACGGTAGCCGCGTCAATCAATCCTAAACAAGTTCAGTTTGATTTTTTTCCGAATTATGGATTATTTATAATTGATTGATTGCCTATATACTCGTATATGCATTTTCTTAAACATTATAAGGTAACTGTCACAAATAAGTGTGTACGAGTTGACAACCTCTAAAAACCGTCTACCGGAATCCATGAATCGTAAGGGAAGGATTACAGGTTATCGTAAGGGAAGGCTCTCAGGAAGCGATTCTTCTTCCACATCAGAAACGGACAGGCTTACAAGATGTTTGCCGTTATGTATAAGTATATTATACATGTGTTTTATATTATACATAACTAACATATTATGAGAGTGTGTACAATGCATATATGTATGTAGTATGCAGTATATATCCAAAAATTTTTGTAATATTTGTATTTTTAGTTAAAAATATTGTAATGAAGAATTTAATATGATTTAACTGAAATGTTTGTTATACTTACGGCATCAGAAGAAAAAAAGGGACCATAATCTTAATTTATTATTAAATGGAAAAAGGAAATTTTTCTCTTGAAAATGAAAAAGAACAAAAACAAAAAAAGGATACCTAATGGATTGTTGCATTTATTAATTTATTATTTAACGTATAATATTTTACATACATACATACATACATACATTTGTTATATATGTTCTATATTTGCTTAAAAGTCTTGTATAGTTTTGTATTTGTAGTCTTGTATATTCACATTATCTATATTCAAATACGGATATAATATACGAATTCTAAGTGAATGTGTGTGTGTGTGTATTAAGGATACAAAATTTTGTAATTTTTTACTCTACAATATTATTTTATCCTTATCTTTTATATGATTAATCCTGATTTACTGTCATCATCATATATTTTTGATTTTGATTCATTCTAATGTAAAAAAACATTTATTTTCAGGTTAAAGTAAAAAATATTTTTTAAAAATTCTTTAACACATAAATGTACATTCAAATGTTGTATGTTGTCATGTGGTACATCAACATGTGTGCATACCTATATTCTAATCTTATAATACTACATTAATTTCTGAATGCTGTTCTTCATTTACTTCCTTGTATGTTTTTTAGTTTTCATATACACAAAATGTTGGTAATTAACTTGATTTCTAAGTGAAAGAATAATTTATTCTATGTGTGTTGTGTATGTGTGATAGAATCTTACAGAAAATATTATGTTATTATATTTTTGTAAATAAAGAAAGCAAGAGTGAGTTTAGCTTTGAAAACTTAATTATCTATAGAAATTGGGTAAAAGTAAAGTTAATTTGAATTAATTGATTTATAGAAAATCGTGTATATGAGAGCTTTTTATTTAAACGTTGTTCAAGTGTGCGCTTTAGTTTGAGATGTTTTTCATAATTTATAAAAAAATTTTTGATGACTTAAGTTGAAAATTGGAAAAAGTGAGTACAAATATCAGAAGTTTGGATAGAAACATAAAATTTCCGTGTCGGAATATTTTAGAATAGAAGAACATGATACTTGCAGTATGAAGCGAAGACTTCTGTCGACTTTCTGGGAGATTATGATGCTCTAGCTTATAGAAGAAGGGAAATACTGAGGGGCTTTGGTTTCATGACGGCGGAGTTGCGGTCATTCGGGTCTTACAAAGTGCTCGATTTTAACAGTTGGAGGGGGAGATGGAGGGGGGGGGGGAGTCTCGAGCGACTGTTTTTGAGCTTGCTCTGAAATCACAATGCAGCACAGTAGATTTTTATGTGCGGTTCTAAATTCACAAATCTAAAGAACAACATAATTTCTAAAAAAGTTTCTATTTTTAAGTTGACTAATTATAAGAGATTTTTACTTCGAATTTTGTTAAAAGCTCATATCGATAAAAAATTAATAAAGCTCTTATTGTATTTTGAATTCACGAGAACTTCTGTTTCAGGGATAATATTGTAAAATTTTGCATACACGAAGATTAAAAATTTCTCTAAAAATAAATTTTTAGTCTTACTTCATATAGTCGGTTTTAGTTTTAAGTATTCGAATTTCTGTTTTAAGTAAAATCTCTGTCAAAAATGATAGTCTTTAAGTCAAAAATTTTGTATAATCGACGAAAAGTTTAAATTTGTACTTATCTTAGGTTATGTACACACATACATTTATTTATTTATTTATATACTTACATATATACAAAAATAATTTATGAAAACGAAAACTTTTACTTTTAGCATTTGAAATCGGATCTTTGACCTTTTTTTTTAAAAAAAAGAAGCATCCCAAATTCATTCAATCCAAGTACATATTTTTAAAAGAACAAAATCTAAAAACGAAGAAGAAATGATAAAGTTAACAAGTTGAAGATAATTTTGTAAAAAAAAAAATCCTAAAACTGAAAAATATAAGAAAAGTTTTTCTTTCAAATATTGCAAAATGATGTGAGGTGAGTTTTGAATTACACAATATTCATACACACAAACAAAATTTTGAATTTATGAACACAAAGGTGTTAATTTTAGAAGAAATTGTTCTTGCTTATTTGCTTTTTCTTTGGATTTAACTTAAAATATTTAAAAATCTTTTTTAATATTTTATATATACACTAATAAATTATGAATAGAAAAATGAAAATTATAAAAACGTAAAAGAAGACTCAAGGTCATTGAATGATTTTTACTACACAGTGAAGTTTTACAAGCGTCATTAGATTATAACCAAAAATAAAGATATTTAAAATCAGCAGGTAACCTTTATATATTGAATTATTGAGCAAGACGAAAATATTGTTAACATCAAAATTAGTTCTAATGAAATCTAAAAATTTTCCCTTAGTTATTTTTAAGAAAAATTCCACTAGCATTAGTTTATTTTGCTTGGTTTGTACAATTTTGGTATGCGTACTTTTTACTATCTGCCACTCACGAGCGGTTATTATAAATAAAAACACTTCATATACACCTAGAGAAAATAAGTTACAAGTGTCAAATCGTATTTTCTTGGCAAACAATTAACAGATTGTTGAAAACGCGAAATTACTTGTAATTGCTCACTGAACTCTAATATTTGTTGAATTAAATTAATTTGTATTAACCAATATTTTTATTTCTGCACACGTTTTTCCAGCTGTTGCTAATTTTTTGGCGATTGTTTGCCTCTATATAAGTCGTGGTCCATGTAAGTGGACTTTACTGATTCCTGATCCGTAATCTGCGTTAGTTGTGTGTTTGTTATTCGTCTGGGCCAGTGTATGTTGCAAATAACTCGCAGGCACTTGTTTAGCATTGTTTGCAGTTTCTCCTTCTTATAATTGCCATAAAATTTCTCTGAGTCTCGTTTATTTTAATCTTCTTTCAAAGAGTTTAACTTAATTGTTCTGCTATTGCATATACTTGAACAAAGTAAGAAGAGAGAATTTTAAGTTCATTCTCACAAAGTAAGAAGAGAGAATTTTTAAGCTCATTTTAAAAAACAAGGCAGCAAAATTATTTTTTTATTTAAAAATGCTAATGTAAATAAAGAACTGAAGAAACAAAAAAATAAGAACAAAAAATTTTTTTAAAATATTGAGGAATTGGAAAAAATAATTCCAACTGACAGGAGAGTACCACTTTTTTTTTTTGGTTTTCCTCCTGTCTATTTTAAAATTTTACGAACATATTCCAATAATGCACGAAAAAAAAATGAAAATTTTCAAATCATTTGAGAATTTTTTTTTAAATTTCTGTAAAGGTTTTTTTATTTTATTTTTTTTTTTTATATTTAAAATTTAATAAAGAGAACTATAGAATGATTATGACTTTTGTTTCTCCCGCACCTAAGGCGCTGCTGTTTGAAACTCGTATTCAATTTTAAATGATGATGCGATTTACAAATTCGTAACTTTAAGGTCGGTGCGGTATTTTTCAAAAAAAAAATTTTGTAAAAAAAAGGAAATTTCATAAAACTTCATATCAAGTTTCCTTTTTTACAGGAATTTATAATGAAAACAACAATAATATTTATGTATGTATGTGTTGAATTTTTTTAAAAAAATTCAAATTTTGTTGATTTCTTTTGATGAAAATTTTTTAAAATTTTTTTGTATTTTTCATTTTGGTTTAGATTAATAGACTTCAAGTACAGTGATTTGATGTTCTGGAAGATTTCACCTTTTATTTTACCGTTTTACAAAAGAGAAGAACGGATCCTTGTTATTATCCTGAATAAACAACCAAGAAAATTATTTTATAATGCAAAACCGTATACATGAATATGTTCTGAATGTATGATATTTTATGTAGTCTATATGAATTTAAGACGTAGAATGTTTGTACATATTTTAAATCTAATTATATATGAATGATGTTATACATGTTTAAAGTGATTTAAACCACCATGAACGTGCCATTTGGATAGAGAGATTTTTTCTTTGTTTTTTTCTCATGTTTTTTAAAAGTTTTTTTTTTCAGTGTTCTTATGTGTGTATTGGTAAATATTATTGTAAGGATTAACGTTATTTTACTAACAAAAAAAAAAGTAGAAAACCTCAGGAACAGAGAAAATCGTATACGTTAATAAAATATATTACTTTCACCTGCTCTTGTTACCTTAAATATACATGCAATATGTGTTACATGAAAATGTTAAATAAAAAGGAAAAACATGAAATGAGAACTTGACTTATTTTGTATGCCACTGTACAAGATAAAATAAATTTTCAAAGCACTATCATATTCTTTTCATGTATTAATGTTAATATATTTGATTTGGTACTAGGTTTGTAATCGCTTATTGAAAAAACTTGTGGTCGATTAGGTTAAAAGTGTTATTATATTTTGCTCAGTGTTTAGTAACAATTTATTTAAGCTCAGTGTTTGGTAATAGTTTAAATTAAAGTTGGTTTGGATCCCCGGATACAGTCGAACTGTAAGGTGGACGAGTTTGCGAGACATGTAAAAACACTTGAAATTTTCCCTAATAAAAAGGAGTTGGATATGCCTTTAGGCGTCCATAGGCTACCGCTACGTAACACAGGAGTATAGCAGACTAACCTCATCTGAAAAAGTGCAACGCTACGAGATGTAGTCTTGTTCGGAGCTAGCGAACTCCGGACGGTGGTTTCATGGGTCTCACTTCTTTCATTTTGAAGGTGCCATAGGTAACTAAAGACATGGCACGTTAGTGTGGTGAACGGTTAATTTACTGAATAATTTTAAACTTATATAGAATAGTTCTAACCTATTCCCTTCTCTTAAGAAATTGTTGAACAAGTAAAATACTGAAGGTTAAATAAGGCTGCGTATAGAATAATGAAAATGTTTCAAACTTAAGCAAAATAGCGGAATTCTTGTTTTCGGCTTGTATAGAACAAAATGTTCGTGGTGCTAAATATAATGTTGATTATTTTCTCCGCGAACACCATATAATGATAACTCTGACTTAAACAGAAGACTATTCTTACTTCAATCACGAGTTAGGAGTGGGGGCGGGGGCAAAAAAAATTTAATTTAATTTTGTATTATTCCAAATTAATAATCTAAATAAATAATTTCAATTAAAATTATTAAAATTAATTGAAAGCCTTATATTTCAAGTGTAAATAATGGTAAATGTTTCATTGTAACCATTAAACAGAAGTACTTTCCATTAATATTTAATTATAATAAATCGCTGTTCTATAAGGCGATTATTTACAAAAAAAAAATTAAGTTGAATTGTTATAAAAATAATTTATTTTTTTTTTTAAATTCTATTTAAATTATTAAATTTTTCCATCCGGCATTGAAATATTTATTATATAAATGGGTGTTTATTGTAATTATTATAGCAATTGTTAATTCTACTTATTTGTTTAATATATTTTAATACATAAAATATCCTTGCGGTGTGGTATATTGGGTTTGAAATAGAAAATGACAATAAATACTGTTAATAATATTAAATACTACATAACATGTACATGTGTATGTATACTAAAATAATTATACAGGGTAATTCACCAATAAGTTAGAAGCCGTATACCACCGGGTTAAGGGTGGAAAATGAGTAAAATTTTTATTTGGAACATAGTTTTTTGCTATATCTCCTGTACTGCAAAAGATTTTTTAATGCTTAGCGACTAAAATTAAAGCTTAAGCAGCTGGGAAGTTTCAAAAAATTTATAAGAAATTATCAGCACAAAAAAAGTAGAAAAATAAAAAATGAGGAAAATTGGAATTTTCCTAAGGTTTTAATGCTTGTATTTCCGAAAAGCATTTAAAATCAAGTGACTTGCTGTTCTTCATTTAAAGCTCTCTTAAAGCTCTTTTAAAAACTATTTGTTTGAAACTTCTATCTTTTTGGGAACGGAAGTTATGTGCAAATACACTTAAGTATGTTAAAATATCGCCAAATTTTTGTGAAATTTCTGTAGCTCGAAAACGGTTCCGATTTACACTATGTTCCGAAAAAAAATTTTATATATTTTCGACCCTCTACCCGATGGTATATGGTTCCTATACTTGTTGATGAACCACTCTGTATATGGGAAAAAATGAAAAAACTTTGCATTATTAAAAATAATTAGCACTGATCAAGTACAAAAAAAAAAAACAAAACAAATCTAGAATAATAAAGTTCGATTTCCGGATTCGAATAATAATAATCAATTTTACATTTCAACTTAATCATATTCACTTATTATATAACAACACAATTATAACATTGGTGTACTATTTACATATTATCAGGATATTGAATTACAAATATCATCACATACTCACACATATTTACTTTATATTGTAAAATTATGCAGAACTAAAATAAATTAATATGAATTAATAATATTTTGAAAATAAAGTTCAGAATTAAAATTATTTTGCTTATTCTCAATGTATTATTCTCTATTTATATAGGTTCTTTTATTCAATGATTGATAATTAGGTTCTGTTTCTATAATTAAATTCTGTTTCTATACTGAATACGATTCCAGTTGAATTCCAATAAATATTATTTAAATATTTCATAATTTTCAATTAGAAATCTAGAAATTTACCAAATAAAGATTTAATTCAGGCAAGTATAGAAGATTAAAAAAAATTTAAAGAGGAACAAGCTGGTTTCTTTGAAAAACATTAAGAATCATTGCAAAGCTTATCCCACTTAAGTAAATTTTATCATCTCGCAAATTTCGTACGGTTGTTTATTGCAATGAAGCGCGAAAGCATATGGGAAGCATTAATGAAGAAAAGAATTTTTAGAAAAATTCATTGGCATGACAAAAACACTGAAACAAGAGTTACTAATCTTGCTATAGTGGAAAATTGAAAGAAACGAGTCAGTTGTCATAATCAAAGTAGACAAGCATGGCCACTCTCTTTCAAGTACTTTCCAAATATTGTTCGATTTAAATAGGTAAATAATTAGGAATATTATACAACACTTTTATAAAACTGATATTGTTAGGAAAAAGTAAATCTAGTTCAC